GCACATCCAAATATTCAAGGAGCAGCAAAGAAGGCAGCATGACGCCCAACAGTGAGCAAGGAGAAGCATAGTAGTGCTAGCAGTTCAGCTGTGTGTCTCCAGACCTCATATGCTGAGGTCCTAACTCCCAGTACCTCACAACGTGACCTGATTTGGAAATAGACCCAATGCAGAAGTGATTAATTAAAATGACTCATAGTGGGATTAGGGCAGGCCCCTAGTCCAGTAGGACTAATGTCCTCGTGAAAAGAGGAAATTTGGGCACAGACATGCACACGGGGAGAACACAGTGTGAAGACTGGAGTGACGTAGCCCCAAACCAAGAAAGCAAGCCAGGAGACAGGCCCAGAACATGGCGTCCCCTACAGCCTTCAAGAGGGAGGCCTGCTGACACCTTGATCTCAGACTTGCAGCCTCCAGAGCTGTGAGACAATACATTTCTGTCGCTTAAGCCACTCAGTTGGTATGACTGTGTTATGGCAATGCTAACAATCTAACAAAAGGAAAGGAGGCCAGAGAGAGAGGAAGGGCCAGATGATAAAGGGTTTTAATACAAGGACTTCAGATGAAGAGTCAAGAGAGCACTGTCAGCAGAGGAGTTACATGATCTGCTCAAAGGCTGAGCTCTGGGACACTCCAACTTTATGAAGTCTCAGAGAAGGGGAGGACATGGCAAAAAAGCTGAGGAAAAGTCGCCAGTGACGTAGGAGAAAACCCAAGAGAACATACAGCCAAAGAAAGCTCATGGTACTTTTCAAACTAAGACCATGGCCAGATGGTCTTGTAAAAGCATCCCACTGTCAGTGGGTCAGGGGTCATCACTCAAGAGGGAAGAGAGAGAAGTCCATCACCGTCTTCAAAAGCATTATCAAGCCAGTTGAAGCATAAAAAAATCCCCTAAGTCCACGGAGGGTTCATTATGGTTGGTGGAGTTTTTTTAATTTCTTAAAATTCAGATATTATTTATCAGAAGAAAAGAAAGAGAAACTAAATGGTAACATCTGGTCTCATTGTAAGGGACTTCTACTCTTTGTGCCGAACAGAATTCCTTTGAATCATGAAGCAGAGATTCATAAGGTGATTCAGAACACCGAAGGCCTCAGCATCTAGTTTAGATTCATTTAGATCGATGAAAACAGCTTCATTCACTCAACTCCAGTGGCTCCTAATATGTCACACAGATTCTGAAGATGGAGTCCGTAACCCCACTTTACGGCGTTCCCGGCTTCCCTAACTCTGTTGCATGGTCTCACGCAAAGGGAGAATTACTGATTAATGCCACAGTCCTAAACTGACTAAAAAAGGTGACTGTATGTCAGCCCCAAAATCTCATATTGAAAGATGCACAGAACAAGTTAAATAATCTCAACTCTTGTCATTAGTTTTTTTTAAATCCTTTTTATTGCATCATTTGCTTAAATACTTCTAATTACAATAACTCAAAGGGAAGCGCGCTTTGTAAAAAATATACTTTTCTTTTTAAAATTTTTTTAATTTTGTTCCAATCCAAGTTAGTTAAAATATAGTGTAATAATGATTTCAGGAATAGAATTTAGTGATTCAGCACCTACATATAACACCCAGTGCTCATCCCAACAAGTGCTTCTTTAATGCCCATCACCCATTTAACCCATCCCCCCCCACCTAACACCCCTCCAACTCCTGTCACTTAAAAGTCTCACAATACAAAAGGGCTAGACCAACCTATTCTGACACCTACAAGCACAGACTCTGAAGCCAGCCTGCCTGGATGTGAATCCTGCCTGGAAAGCTCACTACCTACAGGAGGATCTTAGGGAACTTGCTTAATTCCCTTCTGCCCCAATGTATGTATTTGCAAAAAGGGGATAATAATAGAAGAGACTTTATACTATTATAATAAGGATTAACTGAGTTAATATTTGTACGGCCATAGAACTTGCTTGGCACTCAGTAAAAATTATCTAAGTATTTCTTATAAATACATAAACCAGTTATGTATTTTTCCTGGACAAGGGTTTTGAGGAACAAATAAAAAAAAATAAAACTGCTTAGAAAAGAGAATATTCATCTACTAAAGGCAACCTTTTCAAACTCTTAAAATGCTTTGTCTCCGGAAAGCAATGTACGTGTTAATTACAACTACTCATATCTGTGTATGAGTGATCACCTGGTCTCGAATTGGTCACCCGCTTTAAAAGTTGGAACACAACAGATTTTGATAAATTACAGAAATGCAAGGTGAACTTTCTTAAGCCATAGTGACCAGACACACTGAAACAATGTTTTTCAACCAAAGCAGATTATTTCCCCCTTGACCTGTATTAGCGGTGATGATAACAGTACATAAGCAGAAACATTAGCCACCTACAAGGGGCTGTGCTAAGACTTTACAATGAATCCCTCAGTTGATCCTCACAATGACCTCATGAGGTGCACCCTGTCATCATTTTCTAACTCAGGATGAAGAAACGGTCTCAGAGATGTCAAATACCTGCTCTCTGCTCACACAGCTACAACGTAGTTGGAAAACACACAGTTTGAGCTGTTCATCATTATGCTTTGCATGCACAGAGCCATGCTCTCAGCCTGTCACCCTGCCCTCCAGATCCCTGACTGCTTCTTCATCTTTCCAGGGTGCCTCAGTGCCCTGGGCCTGGCCCGCCGCCATCTTGCTGCAACCTCAGGGGCCAAATGGAAAAATCAATCCTCCTGACAGCTGTTTCCTTGAGAACACCACTCTAACCACTGGGGAAACAGCAGAGAATGCAAAGCGGTTCCCAATGTATTTGGGAATGGGTATCTCCTTGAGGGGCTGACACTTCTGTTGGATGGGGAAAACAGAAGTTGTACAAAAGGGGCTCAGAGCGTGTACATCAAGATGGCAGTCAGACTCTAACTCGCTTTCTTAGTATGAGGAATCACTATAATTGTTAAAATTTTGAAGCTGCCAGTGACATTTGCTCATGTTCAGGAAGTTAAAATCCACTGTAGTCAGAGAAGTGCGCACCATGGCCTGTGCAGATCTACTAAGTAAAAGGGTCAAGAACTACCAGTAGATATTGATCATATTTGGGAATTTCAATTGAGAATATCTGCCCTTTCAAATAAACGCGGCACCATTTGAATTTCATCCATGACCTGCATAAAATAAACACACTTCATCCCTGAGGTAGATGGAGGCCAGCTTGCCTCAGCTGGTACTAAAACCTCTTCTTATTTTGTTCTCTCTCCATTCCTTGCCTGCATGGAGAAAATTAGCTCCCAGAGCCAGCAAGCTAAGGGAAAGGGCAAAATTTGATGGGAAAGTGATAATTCAAGTTGTTTGTGAATGACGGGTTCACTAAACATAGACAAACTTTATTAGCAAAACTGCTCATTCAAATTACCAGAGGAACTAGGTTTCTGAACCCATAAATGGTTCATTGCGAGCATGCCCGTTATTCTACATTCCTATTAATTTCTCAATTCCCAGTTGGATTCGGCTGCCTTCAAAGGCACATTCGATTTGTAGTTGCTGACACTTTGTAGGGATGGCTAATCATTTCACCTAACTGTGGGACAACTGAAAATGCGACTGAATTAGCTACAGCTACATTCCATCCAGCCACAAAGAAAATGTGGCAATGCTGAAGAGTGGAACCACCTTCTTCAGTGGAATACATTGCTTCTCTAAGGAAATGGAGAGCCTACTAGGAACAACAGTTCTTAATGTATTAGTTTGTTTTTTGAAGAAGGGAGAGAATTTGTGTCACTATTAAGTAATTGCTACCAACTAAGAAAACAGGCGTCACCTCGGGTCAACTGGGGAGCGTTGGCTCGACTGAGAAATCCCCCAAAGAATCTGCATGTGGTGGTCAAAGAGCACGCCACAAAACCAGAATACATGTTGGGATCATGGAAAAGAGACAATTAAATCCAGGACTTGTTGACTTGTCTGCTGAATCTTTCCCTATGTGTTAGAGCGCCTGAAAATGGAATGGGCCGAAACAAGCTGTTCTCATGCAGTGTTGCCCCAATTATCTTCAAGACTGACACAATCTCTCATAAATCCAGATCCTTCTAGCTCTCCTATGTCCCCGAACAGCCTTTTGACAGTCTCCCCCCCAACAACCTATTAAGTGCTAGTGTATGGTTAGCAGAGTTATAAATAAACCCGCTGCCCCCCCAATAAAAACTATTATTTACTAAAAGGCAGTCAAGCTGTCACCTTAGTTTCTGAACTTTAGCAGATGCCAGTGCACAATCCCTAACGCACAGAGAACTAGTATACCCTGAATAAACATGATTGGAGAAGCGCGGCATGATTTTGCTAAAGAAGCAGACTCACTTCAGGGAACTGGGAAGGTAGAGCTCCGATCAGGATGTTGACCCACACTCATTGGTGGAGGAAAGGAGTGAGATACAGGGCCAAGGCAATAACGGCACGGGGTATGTAAGGCTCCGTGGAACGGATAAGGGGCTTGTGGACCTTTCATAACAGTGGGCACAGGCCTTGGATATTGCTGAACAGTGATCACAAACTTCACTCTGAAACAATGACAGTCCATCCTCAAAGCCAAGAGGGCTCAGCACCGATGACATACTGGGTCAGGGAGAACATGCTAGAAGTGGGAGATCACCTCAATCGTGAGAAAGTAATGATTAAGAATATAGGATCTGGAGTCATATAAACCTAGCACAGTCACCATCTTCATTATCTTCTAGCTCCGTGGCCTTGGTACATGTCTGAGGTTAGGTTCTCTAAATGCAGAGCCTGAGACAAGGATTAAGATATACCTAATTTGTTGAGGGAGTACTCTCAGGAAAAGCTTCTAAGAGAATAAAGGGAATAGAATTGAGGAGGGGAGAAATGACATGATTTCTAGGAAAGTTTAAACTTGACCTGATCTGTAGGGGAACTCTGGAAGGTAAATGTACCACAGAATTGTCCCTGCCTGTAGTCCAAGGAGCTGGCTTCTGTGGGTTAGTCACAGGCCCTGGCCCACAGGTGGAGGGGAAGAATCGAGGGGTGTGCTAACCTCCTGGACCAAGCACCTCCCACTGGCTGAGGGCAATTATCTGAGGAAGGAGGCAGCTGTGAGTTTGCCAGCCATGCTTGTAGCGGCTATGAGATGGGTCTATAGCAATCTGGATCCAATCTGGATACAGGAATCACACAGTAGGTTAAACAGAAAAATTTTAATATAAATAATTACTATGATAAAACTGTATCGCACACTAGGGCTGAGGGAGAGGATCCAAGGAAGGGCAAACTGGAAGAAAAATGTGGTTCAGCCCCCAGATAGCAGGGAAATGCACTGGTCTGGCCCAGCGGGATGCGGTATGGGTTGCTGGGCAAGCAGGAGGCCGCCACCCTCTGGAGTGCAGAGGGCAAGCGGGGAGCAGATGAGCAGCGACTGATAATGTGGGTGGAAATCGGGGTGCTGGCAGGAGTAGCGGGGTCAGGCGTGAGCCATGCTGGTTTCGGTCAAGAGGCCTGAGGAAAGATTAAGGCTAGGCTAAGTCTTCACCCACACCACCAACCTCCAACACCACTCTGAAACGGGCAAAAGAGCTCTCCCCCTACCCCCTGTCCAACGCACACACCCTGCAGCGCCCTCTACTGGAATTCACTGAGCACAGAGCATATCCTGAAAAGTGCTTTGGAAGCTGAGGCAACAAACTGGTAACCGACACAGTACTTCCAGCCCAGGAAAGGAGACCCGGATGGCGACCAACTGTACCCTACTAATACCCACCCTGCACAGTTTCCTCTCCTAGAAAGCAGGGGTAACATCCACTTTATAAAACTGTTGTGCACGTTAAATGAGATTTTGTACAGTGCCAAGCACAGTTCCTGGCATACGGTAAGTACTCAACATGTAGCAGCAATCGCTATCGGTCTTTTTATCATCGCTATATGATGCCAAGCTACGGAAAGCATTCACAGAAATGGAGGCGCGCTAATCTCCACTGCTGTTTTAGAAACGCCAAGCATCCAGTTTACCTCCAGCACTGCCATAAAGTGTCTAAGTAGAGACCACTCTGCCGAAAGCTGTAGACTTCGGTCATTGGAAGGAGTAAAATAATATTGTAAAATACTTGGCAGAAGGATAATCATGTAGATGTTCAATATATGGTAACCGCAGCTAATATTAACAATCATCATAAATTAGTGCAGGATGGGGGCCCCTGGGTGGCTCAGTCGGTTAAGCGTCAGACTTCGGCT